AGAGAAGTCTCAGCAGGTGGGCAGAGCCTCCCGCCGCCACTGCTACCAGTTCGCCTGATCCTGAGCGAACTGGTAGCAACCCACCACTGCCGAGGGGTATCTTACCCCCACAGAATTTCTTTCCAGAGAGTAAGTCATCTGTGTACCAGATTTGGTTGAAATTGCTTGAGGCGTTCCAGATTTATGCTAACACACACACACACACACACACACACACACACACACACACACACACACAGAGAGAGAGAGAGAGACAGAGAGACAGAGAGACAGAGAGACAGAGAGAGAGAGAGAGAGAGAGAGCCATTTTTATATATTTAAATGAGGAATGATCTGATGACTCACAGATTGTCTAGTGACAGCTAAAATTCCAGGTAATAGTAACAGAGAAGCTGAAGAGGATTCAGATAAGAAATCGTCCAACAATAGCTAAGATGTTCCAGTGGGAAATAAATTTTACAGTAAAAGCTCTAGGAAGGAAATTGACAATTTTGATGTAAAAGAAATCAATAGTTGTACTGGTTTTAATAATTAACTGGTGAAAATAGCTTATAGAAAATATAAAGATTCAGCAGAGTATCACCTTAGTACTATCTTAAATCGGATTTAACCGATTTAATATAAGGTTTTTAAACCTACAGCAATGGTATCTAATGCTTCAGATTGGAAGGCAGCTTTTATTTGCTGTTCCATTTTTATATTTACTACTTCACATGAAATATGTCTATGTTTGTGTGTTTTTAATGTGTGTATTATTTAAATATTAAATGAAATAAATATTGGACAACCTGTAAATCAATGTCATTTGCCTGGAAATAATGGGACAGAGAATATGTAAAGAAAAAGCTTTTTCTACTAAGTGACTTTTAGATATTCAGCCACCTATCTGAATTTAAATTATGAGAAAGTGGCAGTTTACCATGATTAAAACATCAAGCAAAATAAAGAATTTGAAAGGCAAGTTCAGACTAAACATTATTTACTTCTCAGGCTTGCAGCCAAGGAGCCAATCAAACTCTGCAACATTTGTAGCTTTAGCATCTGACATTACTGTTCGATTGAATAAAATAAACATAGCACCTCTCTCTCTCTCTCTCTCTCCCTCCTTCCCTCCTTCCTTCTCTCCCTCCCTCTCCCTCTGCCTCTTTCTCTGCCCCCTGAGTCAATTATGAGTATAAATTAAGGGTGTTACTTTCTCAAAATTTTCATTAATAATGGATATTCAAGTCTTTACATATGCCGGTACTTGTATATAAAATCCAATAAAGCTGTTCCCTCCCCCCGCCCCCAAATGGGCATAATCCAGCAAACATTTAGCAAGTTAATGTATCACATATTTCAGCATAAGAGGCATGTTCATTTGTTTCTGGACTGCAAATTAGAATGAGACAAACCTTCATGTGGGTTTATTGAATATTTGGAATGCTATGAGAGTAATAATGGTATAGAGATGATGCTACCTCTTGATATCCATTAACAGCAACAACAACAACAAACCCAGTAATAAAAACAAATTATACAACTGGGGCATAATCATATACAACCTCAACCGGGTGGCAATTCCAACTTGTATAACATATGTGTCTACATAAATGAATGGAATACTGTTATATATTCCCAGTTTTCATCTTCTTCAAAGTTTGCAAGCACTAATTGGTTTAATTGTAATTAATCACGTTAAAATTCCAAAAAGTCAAATTTGAATCAGTGAGGCAACATTCAGACATACGTCTGCTTTTGAAGTTACGTTATTGATTACTTAATGCAAAAATCACATTGGTTGTTTAGCAATTTTAGAATTCCTCTGACAATTCTTACACCTTATGTGTATTTTTATTCAATGCTATATTCTTCCAATGAGTAAGCAAATACAGTACTGCATATTTAAAGTTTTAAAACTGAAATATTAGAATGCTTTTCTTAAAAATAAGCATTGATTTATACAGACAAGAATTAAGTTAAATATTATATAAACAGAAATTATAAGCTGTAATAAAAGTTTTATGCTAGATATATTATTTAACAGCATTATGATTAAGTTTATAGCTAAGATGTTTATAATCAAGGATTTCAATCCAGATCCATTAAAATCAATCAGACCTTTGCAAATAAACATCATGAATTTATTTTATAATTTAAAAAAAAATCCACAAAAAGTAGAAAAAGCTGTCAAAATAAAGTTCCATAGTGTTTTATCTGTGATATGGAGCCAGGTAGAAAATATCTCATTTCTTTGCAGAATGTGAAAGCTGCGGCTGGTTTTAGGTTTCCTTGCACATCAAATCCAGGTGCCTGCTATAGCTCTAGTGTTTTTTAGAGAGAAAGGCCCAATTATCATCACTTAATTAGTTTTATAGGAAAGCAAAAAAATTGTGGTTGGATAAGAATTTGTGTGGTTCTTAGTATTTTTAAAGTATGCCAATAATTCCACAATGATGAGATCATTTGAATGAGCCTTTGATATACATTATTTAAAGCATACAATTATTTCAGTGGCTCTTTCACACACATATCAAGTAAGGCTTATTTGCAACGTTATGAATAAATATAGTTATAAAATCATCTTCACATTTTATCAGAAAGTTAGAGGTTAGAAGGAAAGTGATTGTTCAGGACTTTATTTCAGACAGGTGTTTCATAAACTACAGTATATTTACACCAGGTCTTCTGGGGAGATAGATTGTCTTCTTTCTTTCCATGCGGAGAAGCTCATAGTTAAATCTTACTTGAGCATTTGTGAGTGGATGGCATCTTCTAGCATAGCTGAGACAGTAGCTCAGAGGTTCATGAGGTCACACTAAAATACACTGGAATTGTCTGGATGGGAAACAGCCATTAAGATTCCTAATATTTCAGTCTTATGATTAGGCAAAGGTAGGGCTGGCTGTGAGCTGAATGCTGTTACATCCACTTGCCTTTCTTTTCAAATATGTTATGCCTTCCTAAACCACAACATAGAGGAGGGATTAACATGAAGTACTTTCAAAACAATAACATATTTCATGCCATTCCTTTGCGCGTCTAAGTCATGCCTCACTTATTTAGAAGGAGGGATTTTATCTATTTATTTATGGTATTTTATATCACTTTTTCAACAATCAAGATGAAGTAATTAGAGATACAAATATTTTGCATTGGCAAAATAAGAAAATAGTGTCAAATAATGCGTGTTAAAACCATCAAAGTATAGTCTTTGTTCAAAAAGGACTAATGAACTTTAAAATAATAGCTTGTTAAGATTTTATTTATTACAATATTATTGTAAAGATAATATTCTTTATTCTGTCCAAAGTCTTTAGAAATGGTTATGATATAAATATTATCATAAATAAAAATATAAAATGATTGACTTTTAGATAAGCTATTATTTTAAGTGCTTTTGCCTCTGTTCAAGAACTAGAGAGACTAGTAGTAGATGGGTTAATAAACCCAATGGATATGATAAAAATATGGAATATATCAATTTTGGATTTTAATATAACATGCCATCCTAATCGTTAACAATATGGAAAGTTTATGTTCTTTGAAAGGATGTCATAAAAAAGTTTTTAAAACAAAACTTGAATTTATTTTTTTTTAAAAAAAGGGTTAAGCTCAAATTCTTAATTTTGAAATTGTGATTCAGTTCATTTCTTGATTTGGCTCCATTTATCCCTCTAAATTTATATCTATGGCAGATTTTCTGCCTGGTGGCCATGTACAAATAATGCTTTCTGTTCAAGAATTGGGCACAAAGCTGTGCTTTATTTGTGCAAAGGAATGTAGTATGAAAAACAGAACTCTCTGCAGGACCTCTCCAAGGGACCCCAAAGTAAACTATTGTGCAAAGTGATTCCTGAAGCTTGCAGTTCCTCTAGGGAGGGGATTAAGATTAGCTATGTAATTTCATTGAGGGTTGGGTGTTTTTCTTAGGCTAAGTATTATCATCTAATTAGGAAAATCCAAATGCTCCATTTACTTAAATCAGTGCTGTGAAATATGAATGTGAAGGCATGTTTTCATGTGGCATAACTAAACTGCCCCCCTCCCCCACTACTGGCATTATCCAAGTGGTCATCACAAACAGCAATATGTTTTACCAAAAAACTACATCAATTTTTGGACATCACTTAAATGTTTTTTATCATTCACATTGTAAAGAATGAATCCATGTTATGGTTTAATAACCAAGTTTGTAACCTTGCAATATCCCAGGGCTTGGACCTTTCTTCAATATTTGCATTTTGACCCAAAAGGAAAAGACTTTTCTATATATAGAGTGGAAAAACAGATCATTAATTTCACTTAGTGATGCAGGTCAATTTGATCTCTCTGCCACTAATACTTCACTGTGCAATAGTCCAAAGCAAAACACATATTATTATCTTTCCAAGACATAATGATGCATCGTTTAAATGTCAATATTTTCTCAATGTAATTTAGAGGTATTGCCAACTTATGATGATAGCATAAAATGTGTCCACTATAATTTCATCTTCTGCTGTTTCATGTCTAAAAACAGACTTAGATTAGAATCCTATAAATACCACTATAACTGAACTCAAGGGAACTTGTGAACTGAAATGCATAGGATTGCTCTTTATCTGTTTACTGAGAAAATGAAATTGTTGAGAAACTGAAGCTGAAATATTGCTTAATCAAATCAACCATATATTTTCAATTTAGAGCACTTCTCAGAAACAGCGCTGTTTATGTTAACCTTTATTATCAGCAATACCTTATTACTTATTTAAGTCGTTGGTGGCATAAATCCATCTTTCATCTTAAATCTCAGGATCAATCAAATATCACAGCAAATGGCAAAAGTGTAATCGTGCCACCGCTCTTAAGAAAAACTTAGGAATGCACACTTATCCCTTTACACTACATGCTTAACTACAATACCAGATAAGCCTTCTGTTTCTTTTAAATATTGATCCGATTTGTGAAAGAGCTAGAAAAAAACTATCTTGAAGCATTTGGCTACTTTAAAATAATAAATAAATACCAGTTTTGTGGCTTAACAGATTTTTTTTCCCACTTCAAATTTGAAACTTTTTTAACCCTGCACTTTGTGTGCTGGGGCTTATCAATGACTTCTTGGGGTCATGAGTGTTACTGTGAGTACAATTACTTGGACAAAGCCAGGACCAGGTCAGATCACAATGGGATAGTCCCGCAAGGCTTCTGCAGGCTGCTACCACCAAAGACTTCTAAGAGAAAGAAAGGAAAGACCATGAACCAAACATCCCAGAAAATTCACTAGCAAATGTGTTATTCATCACGGAAAATACAAACAAACTTTATTAAAATGCCTTGTAAAAGTACATTTCAAAACAACGCAGAGACATCTTCTGGGATGACCATTTAACACTGAAGCTTATGCCAATTGATTACATTCTTCAAACCTGCAGGTTTATGAATGTGCCAGAATGAAAGTAAACAACTGGAATTTGATGTGTATAGTCATGCATCTAATTTGATGATTGATTGTCTAATTTAAATAGCTATTTTAAAACACATCAAGGAAAAGGTTTATAGTAAAGGTCAGTGAAAAAAGAGATTTGGGTGTTAAATACAGTGAGTGTTTAATTCTAAGAAAGGGACAGTAATATCAGTGGGCATTTGAAAGTCTATAATTGTCATTCTGGTTAATTTACTTTTATTTCCTTGAACAAATGATAGTATTCATTACCTCAACAATTGAGCCCATAATTATTGAAAGTGGGGCAAAATTAAGGGAGCTTAATTTTGCACTTTCACAACTGTTGCACTTTCACAACTCACTGTTGTGAAAGTTTTAATCTATCTTTACTGTATGGCCTAGGATTCTTATTGGGTTGAGATACTTCATTAATGAATAAAAAGGGTCTCATATGGATTTTTGTATTGTACTTTGTACATAGAAGTTCATTTTTTACTGCAGTTTAGTTTAAAATGCATTTTGTTGCCATCATGCATAATCATAAAACACATTCTATTATGCATTTTTTTCAGGATAACATAGTCTATGATCTAAATAATGAACAAGTCAGCAAAGTAAAATTAAGCTTGTTACATAATCACAAATTTATCTTCTAAAACATGCTTTGAACACACACAAACACACACACACACACACATACGCACACTGCTAGAAACTAGATCATAAAATTGTTGGGAGGATACAACTCCTTTTTATATTATTTTGATTCAACTGAGCATTACTTCTGATATTTTATTCTGCATACATCTATACATTCAGAGTTCTATACTTAGAAGTTCTCCAGGGACAAAACATAATTGAATTGTTAAGAACAAGGAGAATAGTGTTTAAAATATATACATTTTATGAATCTAATCTGTGGAATAAAATCCTTTTCAAAGTGTCTTGGCCAAGTTAGTCCATTAATTCTATTGAAGCTTTTGGCCTGTTTTACTACTGGCCTATTGTTTCATAAAAGTCCAGAGTTTATTTCTGTCTACAAATTTTTACAAACAAGGTAGCTCTTCTGAACTCTCAGAAGGAAATATAAACTAGTCTCTATTTCAAAAATAATAATCCTAATATTCATAGACAGCATTTGAAGTGTGTTTCTTTAGAACTGACATGAAGGTCAAAGATACAATTTTATCAGTTTCATTTTGGAGGCTTTTACTTGATCATGACAGCAACTTATTTCTAACACAATTATTGTAATCATATTTCCTATACTGTTTGACTCTAGTGGATCCAGATAACATTACAGTAAAACGCCACCAAAATGGAGTGCAAGTTTCAAAGTTAAAGGTTAGAGAGCAAGAATTACAAATTCTGGTTCAAGGCTGAATCAAAGTATATTCCCAATGGAAATTTTTCAGGAGGTTTTATAAACTCTAGCATGTGTGCTCAGTATATATCATGTGAGCTGGCTATGGAACAGACTAACAATTGTGATCAAGCAATAAGAAACAGTTTATCCTGTAATTGGTAAATGTAGATATACAGTTCTAGTACTTTTATGTTAGAACTGTACAACTTTTTTGGCTATTGTCTGATTAAAGCAATGCATATAATTATGTACTCGTTGCAGAATAATCAGATTTAATTTAATTTCTAAGAGAGAAAATATGATTTGTTTGTGTATTCTTGAGATATAGAATTTCTAATCTCAAGAGCCTTAGATTGGGTCACTAAAAAACCCCTGCCCCTTATTTCACATTCCTATACTTTTAACTTAGAACCTATATTTGTATAAACACTGGCTCTAAAATGTGTCTGTTAGTTATGGCATGCATTGTATTGGGAGAATAGAAGCATGCTAAAATGTCATGAGGCAGGCCTTTAGCTTATATACTGTATCATGTGGACACTCACCTCTTACAAAGTTGCATTTCCTGGTTCTAACAGTGGTCCACATAACCAGAGAAGAAACTAACATACTGTATGTAACAGACATGATTGGACAAAAGATGGAACATTGGTGATTCTTCCATCTTCTCTGATCCTGTTCAAGACCTTTGGTTTTCTGCTATCACTAGGAGCAGGAATTGAAAAAAACAGTTATGGGGATGGAAAGGACAAAGAATGTTTCTCTTGCCCAGCTATGATATATGTGTAAATGCATGAATGCACACTTTCACATTTGCATTAGACATATCATCCCAAACGCTCCTGAATCTAAAAACACACTTTTTTTGTGAATTTTTGTTTTGAATTTTGTCTCTGCAGCATTACTCCTGTTTTTTCTTTCCTGTAATAACTATTCTACTTCAGTAAATGACCTTTGCTTACAGCAAGTAATGTATGTATCAGGTCATTTCCTGGCTCGTGCCTGACCAGTAGATAAACTCTAATTGTGGTTTTTGATCTCCAAGGTTTTTCTTGGGTAACTTCTCTCTACTGAATCACTGAGATCCTTGTGGATTCTCTCTCTGGCACCATTTCCTGCCTTCTACTCTTTGGTTCTATATTTAATTATGTTATTTACTTGGAGTTTCTAAGTATTTGTTTTCTTTGTGACAGTCCAATTTCAGGAGAATGTGACTTTGACAGAGCAATGAGTTTTGATTTTTTTTTCTCATAGGGAAAGTTCTAGCAATCCCATGCTATTTGTACTGCAGATTGGAAAGTAGCTAAAGAATGGCTATTTTGATTAATAAAATGGGCACATAGTAAAAAGGATAAAACCTCATTCAATTAAATTCCCAGCCACCTCATACTGAATCAATGTTGCAATAATATTGCAATAATTCAGATATTTCTTGCATCTTATCCTTTCTGGTTGTCAAGTTGCCTTGCATATTAGGAAAAGTTTTCGATATTTAAGTTTCTTTTTAAAAAAACTAAGATTACAACATAAGTGTTAAAAAACAAGAATATTATTGTTAACTTATTAACATACTATATACATATTAAAAAAGAGTCAATTTGTCCAAAGACAATAACAGATCTAAAAAAAATTCAGTGATTTCTATGTCAATTATTCACAGATGACTCCAAAAATGTGAAGATTTGTTTTCTGCACTTGAGGGCATCATATTTATTCTGTTTAAAAAAGAAATATTCAACGATTAGCTTGTTGTAACAAATTGAAAGATTAATGTAAGAGTAATTATCTACCACAGCCTAGTACAGCAATACTTAGTACCCCGCCACACAAAAAAAGACAGAGAAGAAAAGAGAGGAGGGGGAAGCTGTCTCCTTTTTAAAAATGTATATTTGAATGCTTTGACAGACCTAGAAGTAATAACAACAACTATAAACAGAATTAGGTCTTACCTGTCCAATTGAAGAATGCTGATGCAGGAAGGACAGGCATAATTAGGATTATATCATACATAAATTCTATGCATGCAATAGATTGAAACTGAACTGAGTGGTGGCTTTTGCTGCAATTTGAGCCTCTTAAAGTAAACTGAAAATATTCATTTCCTTGAAAATGCAGTGAAGGTTAAATCTAAAATTTCAAACAAGCAAACAATTGATTCAAGAGCTTACAGGAGACTTTTGAGTCACTCCTCTGTGTTTGATTCCAAGGTGGTGATGACTGATAAAGTTTAGCTGCTCTAGCAACAACAGTTCAGGTTCTAGGAGAATTCTTCTTCTCCATGGCAACATTAATGAACTTTAAAGCCACAATCTAATTCAGATTCAGCATGCTTAAGCCTATTGATTTCAATGGATTTTAAGAAAGCATAATAAAGCATTAAATTGTGGTCTAAATGTAGTGTGCATTTCATAGTAGCTTGAAAATTGGCTGGGGATCATCAATTTCTTTTGCTATAATTATGATATGAAAATGGATATGACCATAAGGTTGCTATGGGGCAGATTCCTTAAAATTTGCATGGAAGAAGAACTTGATTGGTTGCTGTCTGGCTTTGATGAAATTTTGGAACGAGTTCCTAGCTTCAAAGAATGTTTTTCTTTGAATGATCTTATTTCAGAACCTTTTGCCCAGTGATTTTGCTTTAGAGTAACTTTATGCAATCAGGAACCCAATTTAGATTGATTATATTGCAACTGGTGATTTCAATCTGATTAATAAAAGCTATGGATCCTATATAATTCTATTTAGAAATAGTTCTAATACAATTTGTGAGATTTACCACCCACGATGTATTCTTGCTTACTCTTGTGTACACATAATAAAACAGGAATATGTCGAAGTAAATGCAATGAGACTAACATCTGAGTAAAATTTCACAGGAACATAACACTTGATTTAATCTTCCTTAACTATAACACGACTAGGACTACTGTATTCTAAAGCAATAATGCTATACACACATATTTGAGAAAAAAAAAAGTGTTATAAGTATGGTACATGGATTTAAAAAAAAGCACATTTCTATATATACATATCCTATTTAGTTTAGTTTAGTTTAGACATTTGTAGATAAATAATGAAATTGTATTGGCAAATGATCTCTCTCTCTCTCCCTCCCTCCCTCTCTCTCTCCTTCCAAAACTGACATTTCCCTCTGCATATGTTTTAATCCAGAATGTTGCAAGAAAGACTTTGTGAATGCAGCTAATGATGTTGGCAGTTCTTGAAGAAGGCTTTGAAATATTCCACATAATTCTTGTGTATCCTATTTCTTCACTGCTCTATTTTAGCCACATCTCAAAATAAAAATTAAAATATCTCACCTACCCTGCAAAGTAAAATGGATTGGTCAGATCATTATGAGTCACTTTTTCTTCTGTTTCTGCTAAGGTTAATGTTCTTAGGCTACAGCCAGGATTGACTGAGGGGCTACCACAAAGAAGAGGGGGTGAACTTATTTTCCAAAGCACCAGAAGGCAAGACAAGAAACAATGGATGGAAATTAATCAAGGAGAAAGGCAACCTGGAATTAAGGAGAAACTTCCTAACAGTGAGGACAATTAATCAGTGTAACAGCTTGCCTTCAGAAATTATAGGGCTTCATCACTGGAGGTTTAAGAAAAGACTGCATAGTCACCTATCTGAAATGTATAGGGTCTCCTGTTTGAGCAGGGGGTTGGACTAGAAGACATTCAAGGTTCCTTCCAGCTCTATTCTGATTGATGTTATTGATTGCTTTGCAACTGTTTCTCGGTTGATATTTCTTTGTGATAGTACTAGCAAGAATTATCTGAAGTAACGATGCATTTGTGTCCTGTCTTTTTTGAACTGTTCATGTTAATTTTTTAAAAAAATAATTACTAATACCATAGTATAAAAGTGATATAATCAGGGGTGGGCTTCAAAAATTTTAGCAAGGGGTTCTCTGCCCGATTGCTGGGTGGATGTGGCCATGGTGGGCATGGCCTGGTTGGCCTCCTGCACCACGGCGGAGCGGACGTTTTTGTCATCCCTGGGCTCTGGAGACTTCCTTTGACCTTCCAGGAGGGTAAAAACAGCCTCCCCAGGCTCCAGAGGCTCTCTGGAGACCAGAAACAGGCCCATTTCCAGCCTTCCTAAATTTCCGGTAGGCCCATTTTTCGCCCTCCTTGAGTCTCCATGCGCTCTGCACTTATCTACATCCAAAATGGGCCATGTGGGGATTCCTGGGAGGGCAGGGTGGGGTGGGTGGGGCCAGCCAGGAATGGGATTTGGGGGTTCTCCAAACTGCACAGAATCTTAGCTAGAGGTTCTCCCAAACCCCTGCGGACCCCCAGCAGCCCACTCCTGTATATAATAAATATAAAAAAAATTCATCATATGTTGTTACAGTAACAACATAGAAATCACTTATTAATTTGGGTAAAAATAAACTGTTTTTAAATACTATGACAAACTATATTTGAGCAGTTATAAAGCTCTGACTAAATAATGGATTCTAATTTACCATTGATAAAAATGTTAAATATACAGTACTTCCATCAACTGACATCCAAGATTTACATTTCATTAGCAGATGTCCCATTAATAGTATAGACGGCAGAAACAAAATCTAATATTTAAGTAATTCAATATGCCTTAGAGACTAAATTCCGGTACAGTTATTCTGTCAAAAGATATTCAGCTAGGACTAAGTGACTATATTCTCACAGCATTAAAATAGCTCGAAATAAAGTGCATGACAAACAGTAATTTTTAACAAGCCATATAGGAGACAAAAATGAATTATTTAATTATCAGGATAGCTCTCTTGCAAATAAACAAAATAGGACAAATAATAATAATAAAACAAGTGTAGGCATAATATCTAAAAGCTAAAATTAACTTGTAGCATATGAACTAAAAATTGGAGTTTGTTGGATTATTTTAATCATCAGCATGAGGTATAAATAAAACAAAATCACTTGGAATAGGAGTCTTATCAAATACTGCAAAAACTAAAGTGTGGTGTGTGTAGTATTTTTACTCAAGTTCTCCTTATTTCCCTGAATTGGCTGTTCTCAACAGATACTAATTTCATAACCATTTTCAGCAACCCATATGATTAGCTATAGTTTTATCTTTAGATAGTCGGAATGTTGAAGTTAGGAATTGAGAGAAACATAGATGTAACTTAGTTTCCTTATGCTTTATTTCTTAAAGCCTGTGAAAAGTTGATTTAAGACAAGATTTTTGATGTATGTCTGATAGGCTTGTCCCGTTCAAAACCTTGAAAGATAGTGTAATATAGTTAAAATATTGGACTAATATACTGGACTACCCTCAGCAATATGCATAAAAAACTGAAAGAATGTTAGTTGTCCTATTGTCGCTATCTTAAATTTTTTATCATGCACTGTCGACACTACTGGGTTCATGGTTCAGTTGACAGGTTTAAGGATGGATATAGAATAGAATAACAGAGTTGAAAGGGATCTTGGAGATCTTCTAGTCCAACCCCCTGCTTAGGCAAGAAACCCTACACCACTTCAGACAAATGGTTATCCAACATCTTCTTAAAAACTTCCAGTGTTGGAGCATTCACAACTTCTCGAGGCAAGTTATTAATTGTTCTAACTGTCAGGAAATTTCTCCTTAATTCTAAGTTGCTTCTCTCCTTGATTAGTTTCCACCCGTTACTTCTTGTCCTGCCCTCAGGTGTTTTGGAGAATAGCTTGACTCCCTCTTCTTTGTGGCAGTCCCTGAGCTATTGGAACACTGCTATCATGTCTCCACTAGTCCTTCTTTTCATTAAACTAGAGATACCCAGTTCCTATGTTCATATGTTTTAGCCTCCAGTCCCCTAATCATCTTTGTTGCTCTTCTCTGCACTCTTTCTAGAGTCTCAAGAGCTTTCTGTGACAATGTCATACACGAAACATCCCATCTAGAACTACAATTCATCTGATAGCAAATTCTCACAAACACAGAAGCAGTGGGAATTTGATCAGGATGATACAACAATATACTCAGCAATAATTTGGTGCTTACTATTTTCCCTTAGCATATAAATATAACAGCATCGCAGAAATAGTTTAGAACTATTATGGATTTTTTTAGTATTATTCAGTGGGATGATATATTTGTAGCTATGTTCAGTAAATAAAACCACATGCTTGTATTTGACCAACAGCCATGCTTAAACATGCCTTTAGAAAAGTGAAGATAAGAAAATTCCATTTAGGTCAATTTACACATGTTGTAGCTCAGGTCATATTAAAAATGATTTATGCATTAAGTGGACACATCAGGTTCTAAAAGATCTAAAAAAATCTTTATTGTGGTTATTAATTATTGTCAAATCAACATTTTTAAAGTGTTCAATGTAGAGCAATGAATACAGTATATGATGCAACCTCTTCATTATCTGCCAAACTGCCTCAGTTAATTCAACCCGAATTATGGAAACATCATCTGATTATATGAAATACTCTTGAGTTGGTTGACTAAGTCCAGAAAACTCTTCTATTGCATCATTCTTTTTAAAAGGCTAAATGAATAATATTTAACTTCTGTTCCTTGGGGTTTTTAAAATATTTTTTACAAACTCCCAACATAACTCCACAACTCAGAATTTAGGATTAGTCTTCTGTCATATTTCTGTGCTTTGTCAGTAGGACACAGAGAGATGTTTTAACTTGTTATCAAAAGTACTTCTTCCCTTTTTGGGGTGGGGGGAAGAATTTTCTCTACCTTCATTTTGAATACAGATCTCTTGATGAATGCAGTTGAGCTTGTAGAATAAAAGACTGCAGGAAATATTTTTGTCTGATTGAGATTTTGGGAATACTACAAAATATTTTATTTTGTATTCAGAAATCTATATATATAAAAGCGAAATCCACTCACTCATCACGAGATCTCCAGAACGGTAAAGCCTACAAACTTGAAATTTGGCATGTACGTTCCTCTTGGCTTCTAAGTGCTCGTTAACAAAGGATTTTTCAAAATGGCCATCAGATTATTAGTATTTCATATATGGTATATTCATATACAGTATATTAACATGCTCTGATGCTAAGGAGTTAGACGTTTTACTTCCCCTCCCCACCTGAAAAATTCCAACTGCCACTTGCCTCACATTCGGTTACCTCAGGTCAAACTGGCAGACGTTCCACTCCTTCA